TATGTCTTCTTTCACACCTGAACTATAAATATATTAAGAAAAAAGAAGTGAAAACCAAGAAAATCACAGTGAACATAAAGAAAGGGGAGACAATTGAATTTTAGCTGTAAAAAATATTGAAAATTTACTCGATTAACAGAGAATAACATAGATTTAGTTGAATTCGAGAGTTAAAAAAAAAAACACAAAAGAAATTTACCTCTTAGACATAGGGAGATCTGTGAAATTGGTTGCTAAGAATCACAAATCTGAAGTAGATTTGAGGTTACGAATAGGAGTTCCGTGCTGTTCCTTCAGCCCCTTCTTGGAGTAATGAAAATGTCCTTGCATAGCAGTTACATAATCAAGCCTAACTGGCATTTAGATGGGATGCATCACGTGATCAAAGATACGAAAACGTCAATTTGCCGTTTAATCCTAGCCATTTGCTTGATCCATAAGCCTTATCAGGCCACACAAGATATAACATCAAAGCACACCGTTTTGAAGTCAATGATGTGATGCATTAAATTAGTACTTTTCTTGACAAACATGATGTGAATTCAATTCCTTGAAAATCTTGCCTTCCATTTAAACACCCTAAACATAGTGTTTCGCCATTGAAGATCGACCCTAAATTGAATTGCTAAATCCATCCAATTCTCTTGTGTTTGCCTTGATCCTCTTCTGATGTCAACCAAATGGCATCTATCTTGTGAATAGATAGTCTCGTTTATGTTCATCTTAAAGCTATAATAGATAGTGATGATGGTCATCCTCTTCTCTTTATGCAAAGTCTGAAATAGTGATTGTATAAACTATTACTACATTTTTCTTCTCTTCCTTGAAATCGAAGCTTGATTATGTATAAATCTATATAAAGTAAATGCAATGAATTAGCAAGGATGTGACATAATTATCAGTAAGTATTTTTGTAATCGCTCTAAGTCTTGAAACCTACCCTAACTCTAGGAAGCCCTCAAGACTCAACTCATGTAAGATATACATTCAACAGAATTATAGGATTGTCTTTATTCACTGGCTTTTGATTTTCTAAGATTAATACTTAATTGCACAAGAAGTTAAGAGTACTTGTTCCTGAGACTGATCTAGAGCCTAAGGAACAAAGATAGTTATATTGACATGTGTCAAAAGGATATACTAAGATGTTGAAAGTTCCTTGTTTAAGGCAATAAAATCTTCTTCATAAGTTAGGCTTAAATGATAATGTAATACTGGTTAACCTTTTATCTCTTTGGTGAACATATAATTTCTATACTATATCTAATGGGTTTTCACATCATTCTTGTTGCAGGAGTGTCCTCAGAATGTAGGGCCAGTGGAACTTCATCCTAGTTATCTGATCGCATTGGAATAAGGCTCTTTTGCAAGAAGACAAGGTCTAGTAGTACACTATTAAATCATGGTTTTAAAATTCAAACCCAGAATAGGAATACTCCAAGGTCTTACCCATAAGGAAGGTAGATGAATCACAAACCTCCCCACGTGTAAGAAGTAAGCGTGGTTGCAATGGATGCAAACAAATAAACTAAAATGGAGAGAAAAATATGTTTGGAAAAAATCAACGGATAGAAGTTTATATTCAAATTGCTTTCAATTCGCAAAAAATGGTTTTAAAAGGTCAATCTAGTGTCACCTAGATCTCATCTTCAATATTCTTTTTTTGGAGAAAAATCTCATCTTCAACATTTACTCCAACGCTTGTCACCTTTGGTTCAATTGAAGTCAATGCACATAGACCGGTTGTCGTGATTAATTTTGTTGACTAGAACTTCCGTTAACATGTTCACCGTCTTGTCATTCTAGATTCATCCTAGGATTAAACAGGCAGTGATTAGATGCCAAGTTACTTAATCATGCAAGGGATGAACATGAATGCATAGGAAATTAACCCACAATTCATCATACATGACATCCCTTATCATGAAAGCGATAGATAAAACGAAGTATGCATAACATATAGCCATTTTGAAGTAGCAATCTTTAATTGTTCAAAGTAGCAGAAGTTAACCTACCCCCCTAACAAGGCAACTTATCCTGCGCCGGTCAGGGTTCTAGAAACACATGTGAAAAGAAACATCAAACTAGAATTACACAATTGCATCCTAAGCTAAAGAATGGAGTAAAAGCAGATTAAAAAGGACAAAAGAACTTATATTTGTGTCTTCTCTAGCATAAGCTCCCTTTAGCTCTGTGTTAACAGCCTCCGAGACTCCTTCCAGGACGTTTAAAGATCGTCCTTAACTTCTTCCAAAGTTGCTGAAGAGTATCTAAAGGCTCTTTTATACATATCCTGAGGTATTATTACTTATAGATTTGGGGAATGCGCTGCCGCTTATGAGTTATGCACGATGACTTTCATAACATCACAATGCTAACATGGATCTTGGCTGCGAGTAATGCTAGGGTTACCTTGTTTCTTCACTAATTCTTTCGCAATAGCGCCTTGACGGAGCATTTGTAAGGTCCCGCTTGGCATCATGACTTTCGTAATTTGTCCTGTGAAATTTGGATTTTCCAGTAATGTCATGGCTGTAAATTCATGCACACCACGACTTTGTTCTTCAGGATGATCTCTCGCCTGCGCAGTTGATTGGTATAAATGCGTCACTTTTAGCACTCGTGCATTGCGACTATCCTTGCACTGTCGTTCTTGGGCTTCTCTGGGCTTTTTATTTTTGAAATCAAGAAGAGTAATAACTCCTAATAAGATTCAAATACCTTCAGGGTAAAGGCTATAAATATTATCATGACTCTGATTATTATTAATCCAGACCCGCTACGTGGTACATACTCATGACAGTTTCATAGATTGCTCGGGGATGCTTTCAACATTGTTGGCCTTGTTTGGTACATTTAAATCAAAAATGAAATTGGAATCAAGCTTTGAGTAGTTTAATATGTATTAATTTAAGTGTCCGTTTAAATTTCAATTTATATTTGTTAAAAGCACATTTAAAAAATTTAACTATTTGTTGGATATAACAAAAGCATATCTTAAATGTGGTTTGGATATACTTTTAAAGATTATCTAAATATTTTTTTTAGGCTTCTCATAAAATCTGATTTAACTAAAACATTACGAATTCAATCTTATCATTATCACAAGTGAAATTGGGCTAATTTCATGGAATTGCCCTTTCCCCTCTTTCACCATTAGTTATTTTCCCCTCTTTCACCATTAGCTGTTAGTCATAGGGTTGTTAGTTTTAAAATTGTTAGTCATATATTTGGTCTTTTCATGTTATAAATACATTTATAAAATTAAAAATTATATAAGATTTCATTGTAACAAACATATTTCTATATGTCAACTCCATTTCAATAGGATTCCATCAAAAAATACTTTCATTATTGTACTAAACAGGGACCTTCATTCAAGGCAATTATATATTTTAGGATTTGAACTCTTCAGTCAATTAAATTAACAGTCTTTATTTCTAAAGTCTATTCAATTCTTATCCAATATAACTTTAAAATGAGACCATTTAGTACAAAAAAATATCAATGTAACTTTAGGGTCAATCGTTATCACATTTACATTAGGGACATTTTTATCTTTGTAGACTAGAGATTGGATACTTAAATGTAATTTTCTATAAAAATAATCTAGCCTCACAAAACTCAAAAAGTTAGTTGATTTTTTTTTTTTAAGAAAAGGAAAGGAAAGGGAAATACCATGTCAACTTCATAACCGTCCAAAGAATTGGTATACTATTTAATATGTTTTTGGTGTTGTTTTGGTGTTTGTTATCACATTTTGACCATAGCACTATGAGTAGTTTTTTTCCCTATCAAAATTAAGTTTTGACCAAAACCAATAGATTATTGAGCACAATTAAACCTCAAAGATCCTTCTCTAATACACTAGTCACAATCAAGGTATTAGCCATCACAAAGGCCATTACAAGACATGATGGCAAGCTCCTTCAAATCATATACATTCATCATGGTCCTAAAATCTCATTCACTAAACTTTTGATATACTATAAATCATGTTAAATATTCACAATTGTCTTAATGACAACACTACCTTCCTCATTAGAAAAGAACCTTCATTTAAACTTAGCATTACATGTTTGTACACATGTACGGGTGTGCGCCTTCTTTCTTACAGAAAAGCACTAGGTTAAGTGTAAAATGCGAAAAAAGAATAAAACATGTTAATTGAAAAATAACCCTAGCAATAGGAATGCTATTGAGCAACAAGATAGAATTCAAAAAAAAAAATAATAATAATCCTCAAAATGGAGGATAAAATCACATCTTGTGAAATTTAATTTACCACGTATATTTTTTTAACTATAACTATCTTACAAATATAAATGTAACATTTCTTGATAAGAACTAAACGAACTAAGAAAACCACATAGGGATTGATCAAATTCTAGAGGATTAGCAAAATGTCTGCCTTGTCATTCATTTCCAACCAAAATATATCGTTAACCAAAACTTGGTGAACATTGAAAGTACTTGACACAAGATGAGACTGAAGGAGTGAGTGATATACAATTCCCCTACCAATATTTTGACAAAGCACCTAGATATGACAAGCAAACAACCAAAAGAACTGTGAAAAGAGCTCATACATTTAGGAAACAAGAAACGAAGTCTCCATTATCTAACTGAGTCCTATGATTCAAGCAACGTTTTTATGTCGAAACAGTACAAGGAACAATTTTAGCAATTACACCACTCATTGGGAGTTACCATCGTGTCTGTCTCCATTTTATGATCCCACGAAAATCCCTAAATGGTCAGATGTTACATCAAATGTAATATCTAGGAACTTGAGCTACCATGCCAAAGAGCTGGAACCAGAGAAGATGATGGTGCAAAAGAGCCAGAGAGTGAAATAAATATCCATATCAATCATCCAACATCTTACGGAGACGATTCTTGATTAATTCACTGCGAGCCTTTGCCCGAGCTTGTTGAGGACCTATATTTGTCAGAGAGAGATATGCACCAACGGCGAATAATGAAGCACCGGTGATAAATGCACTGACAGTTATAACTAGCTGCCGTGCTGTAGGTGGATATGACCACAAAACCATAGTCTCTGCTTAAGTTGAGTTCGGCTCACACACGTTATCCAGCTTCGTTCTAATGCATCACTTCTTTGTCTGGTTTGAACCTAGGCAAAAGCTCAGAAGTCAGAATTGTTGTCCGCTACAGACATTTGGAAACCAAATCCCGCCCATAAAAAATCAGACATGTATGAGGTACAAGAACTCTGTTTTCATTTATGTAGAAACTGGCCACGCAAAAACTGTTCATATAGCATCCCCATACCAATAATTGAAGCGACATTCAAGTTAAACCATACTACTCATACTTCCTAATCATCAGTCATAGGAAACTTTCAGAATTAGTCACTGGATTCCATTGATTCCACGCATTTAACTTCTAATGAAGAGAAAGAGAAAAACATTGTTGGAGCCTGTCTCCTAAAAGTAGCACAAATAACAGAAGATATCAATGCCTGAAGAGAGTGGTTTGTTAATGGTGAAGAAAACACATCATCTTTGAAATTTACATGGGCTTGAAAATAAAGCATCTCAGGCGAGTGATAAAATTGTAAAATGGAATGGCATCTACTCAACCAAAATCAACTGAATAGTTAACCCTCTATGTCAATGAATCAAAGCTAAACCCCCATTGCGAAGGTATCCACAAAGCTACGGTCAATACAATCCCCATGAAATCAACACTTGGACAACTTAACTGATAGCTAATATTCTCAATTTGACGAAATTCATCCCCTGATATCAATAATTCCGGTTCTAGCTCAACAACCATATTCTCAATCTGTCCTAGAGTGTTCGAATCAATGATTTGACTTATAAATTACCTCAGGAAGCTAACAATTTCAATAAAATACATGTGTGTAACACAACTTCAGCTCTGGACTAAATCTGACTGTAGCCAGGTATCTTTCTCATACCCCTTTCCCTCATCTTATTCCTCACAGTGGAAACATCAATCCATCGCTCTGCAGCAGCATAGATATTAGACAATAGCACGTAATTAGCAGCTTTTTGAGGCTCAAGCTCAAATAGTCGATTAGCAACAATCTCTGCTAAGTCTGGATCGCTATATAGCTTGCAAGCCCCAAGAAGTGCACTCCAAGCACCAGCAAGAGGTTCTATAGGCAATGATTTTATAAGTTCGTAGGCAGCCCTTGTATACCCTGATCGGCTAAGAAGATCAACCATACATGCATAGTGATCAGGAGAAGGACTAATGCAGAATTTATGCTTCATGGAATTAAAATAGTTCCAACCTTCATCAACTAGTCCAGAATGACTACAAGCTGTCAGGATAATTGTGAAGGCCACTTCATCAGGAACTAGTCCTTCTGTCAGCATCTTATTGAAGAGGTTTATAGCTTCAACTCCATGCCCATGAATTGACAACCCCTGTATCATTGAACAATATGAAATTACATCTCTTTTAGGCATTTTTTCAAACAGTTTTAGTGCCCTCTCCAAGTTTCCACTCTTTGCATTCATATCCATAAGAGCTGCCATCACATGATTTTGTTGAAGATCAATAAAGCTCTTGCTTACATAAGAATCAACCCACTGTGTGAGTTCTATACACCCCAACTGGGAACAAGCAGACATCAAGCTGACCAATATAAACTCATCAGGCTTAACATTCAAAGACTCCATCTCTAGAAAAATTAGCAATGCTGCATTAGGCTGACCATTCTGGACATACCCTGATATCAATACAGACCAAGCAACAAGATCTTTATCTGAGGATTGATCAAACAATAACCTAGCGGACACCATATCACCACTTCTTGCATAGGCATCAATCATAGTCGTAAAGGAAATTACATTCTTTTCAGGCATGGAGTCAAATACACCTCTAGCACTGCCCAAATCTCCCATTTTTACAAACCCTTGAATCATTGCATTCCATGAAGCGACATTTTTCTGTGGCATTACATCAAACAACCTCTTTGCCTCCACAACATTTCCAACAGCTACATACCCAACCACCATAGCTGTCCAAGAAACAACATTTCTCTCCGTCATCTCATCAAATACCTTGCGAGCATCACTAGTCTTCCTGCATTTCCCATACATGTCAATCAAACTCGTACCTACAAACACACACTGTTCAAACCCACACCTCACAGTTAATCCATGAATTGATTTTGCTTCCCGCACAATGCATAAGTTAGAACATGCTTTAATCACATATGGGAATGTGTAGCTATCAGAAAGACAATCCGCTCTCTTCATGCGTAAAAAAGCATCAAGAACATCCACAAAGGAGTTCTTTTGGCAGTACCCTCTAATGAGACAGTTCCAAAGCAAGGTGTCAGGTCTGATAACACGATCAAAAACACTAACTGAATAATTGAGAGGAGAAAGGGAATTGGAGAGGGAAATGAACTTTGCAATGACATAATGATCTTGCTCTAATCCTTTGCTGATGATTTGCACATGGACTTGGTTTAGATGCCCAACGGTCTTGCAAACTCTAAGGAGGGATTTGATGCTACTATCTGAGAACTTTAATAGCCTATAACCTGAAGGGGCCAAAGAACATTGATATATGGAAAGCATTGGAAGAAAACGCCAGCATTTGTTGAATGTTCTGTTTTGGGAAGAATTGTACATTATCACCAAAAATGGAAACAAAAGATACATATTGATTTCATTTCTTGATAATCATAGCTCATTTAAGTTCCTAGACAACCATAGAGACATATAGATGCATAAGTGAATCTAAAGAATGCAAATGTGTCACTGACAAGTAAACATTAATTTCATCATAGAATATAAAACTCAATACATTTTCCAAAAGAAATATCCGTGCTTATTGTCCACTTGGGAAAAAGTCACAATAAAATATGAGCAATAATTACCAAAAAATCCAATGTCCACGCACACATGCACACACATCACAATGAATTTCCAATCAAATCTCAGGAACTCGAATGCAACATATTTGTTCAAAAGTGCAACTGAATTTTGCCTAATAAATAACGCATTCTTTGCATACAACACCCAACCTAGAAACCATAATCTACTGAAGTTCATCATGAATAATGTCCAAATGCAATCTTCACTTATAGCAAGAGAATTGGTGCAAAAACAAGGCATGAATCTGTAATGAAAACCACTTACAAACTCAGCATCAGAACAAAGAGAATAAATTGAATTATAACAAAGAGGAAGGCGACCAGAATTTATCTAACACCTTCAAGGCTTTCCCCCCTTTTCTTCTGTGTGTATTGATTTAAATCAAAATTTCTAATTTCCACTATTGCCTTTGAGTCATTCAAATCAATTGCAGACTCCTTTCTTGTGATTACTCATCGGCGCAGTTTGTTAATTTTAAGTTTGTGGATCCTTTTCTTTGCTCGTGGAGCATGTTTCAGAGGGGAGCAATGTGAATGCTTTCATGACAAAAAGGATCCTTCAGTTAGTGTGATTGATTCTAATCCTGCCGTCCTTGTACCTACTTACCAACACACAGTATGTACTATATTTTGTATCTTTCTCATATATCTTCTTATATTGCAAAAAAATTTGCAGATTCTATCAAAAAGAAATGTGCTTATGGTAGTCAACGCATATATAATCACGTTCAAGACCAACCTCTAGATTCTGATAGACATGAAAAGGTCTAAAACTTAAGCATCAGTTTTACCAAAGCAATGGTGATTCCCATGAATCTAGCACTGCTTTATCATTATGAAACAAGTGCTGTGGTATTGTAAAAACAACTGCTTGCATCATCTAGGTTGCATAGATACATGTATGAATATCCGATAAAATACAGCATGAGACAGGGAGACGGCAAATTTTCAAAATTTTAGGATATGGGTATAGGGATGCTTATAATATATATTTCAACATTTTATGATATAGGTATAGGTATTTTGATTTTTAAACAAAAATTTCTAAAGTAATATAATGATATTCATAACAATTAACAAAATGATAAGTGTTTCTTTTAAGTGATATGGTAAAAAATTATTGAAAAAAAAAATCATATTACAGATATTAGAATATCGGATACGTATGCCAAAGAATTCTACAAGTATCGTATCGGATATGGATACATTTACTTTTTTAAAGTATCTGTGCTTCATAGTGCATCATTCTGGAGTCTGAACCAAAGCAAAGAGAGAATAATTTGCAAACTGTTGGGAAAAGGGAAAAGTACCTTATGACTTTAATCAAAGTTAAAGAAATAGGACGTTGATCCAAGAGCCAAAAAAATGGGTCTAGTCAGTTCAATCAATGGCAGGCCCCACAATTTCTTGGTGGGTGAAGTCAGGGTTTTAACTACAATATGCCTTCAAACTTTGGGGGTTCTGAGATTCTGAAGATGATTTATTGGATGACACAAATCAGGGTTTTGCCGCTGATGACAAAAGGGTCTCTGGAATTCACATAGGAAGTTGAGAAAGTTTTCACAATGCTAAGATTGAAATTTCTAGAGTTTTGACCAAACAGCCTGTTCTGGTTCTCCAAGCTAGGGTTTTTGGAAGAATTTAGGGATATTACGATTGAACTTGATATCTAAAATGTTCTGGGTTTTGCATATTGTTTGAGGGCATTAACTGTGAACACAGTGTCAAAGTGAAAGTGGAATAGTACCGGGGATTGAAGAGGGAGAACAGGTTTGACTCAAAGATAGGACTTTGCTGCTTCATGAAGATCATAGCAGCCATCATTGTTGTCTAGTTGAATTAGACTAATAGTAGGAATGAAATGCCAAATGGTACTGAATAATGACATTCAAAATTTCCGAGGCAAATCTTAGGTGGAGCTTGTGAATTAACGCTCAAATTAGCTTAGCATTCTTAGCACAGATTTAAGACCAAAAGCATGATTAAATCATGCTAACAGGCAAGGGAAAACAAGAGTTTGTGCAGAATTTAAAACCCAACTTCAAACCACAATTTAAACAAAGGCATAGTTGTAAAAGCTTTGACCCAGACTAAATGAGTTTATGCCAAATCAGACAGGTCAGCAGGTCTTGCTAGAGGTTCAACCCTGATTTGTTTTTTCAATAAAAAAAAAAGCCCTGACCTCCTATTAACCGAAACGCTGCAAACTGCATGGACCAGAATTTACCCCTACAATTCATATAAGGGGCAAGACACCATAGTCGAAATAACAAAAAAAATTCCGATCAATTTTCACGCAAGAAACTTCTCATCAGAGTAGGCGAAGTTATAACCCAATTTCTATTAGCAACAGAACTCCACAAATTAATCCACTCCTAACTAAATATCACCATACTTCCCTTCCATATAAAAACATCTGACAATAAGCACAACGGACGAAAATGAAAGAAAAGAAGAAACCACTCCCCAGCTGCTAAATCAAGATAATGAGCTCACCTCTTGCAACAAAATCCTCAATCTAAACACAACCGAAAGCAGCAACGAGGGTAAAAGACAGACTCTTATTCTTCATTTCCTTTTTAAACATCACCCATGTATGCGTTCAATCAGGAAAATAATGGCTGATCTTCACAGTGCAATACGCATTCCCAATTCAAACAGCACTTAGAAATTGAAGATACAGAAAGTTAGGCAGACAAACAGACAGCAACTACCCAAAATATTAGAGCAGCCATCGTCAATTCATAATCTTGAATCGAACTAGAGGTATTCCCCGTTGCACATCAGGCAATGATTCACTCCAAAACATCCTAAGGTTGCATCAAACACACACAGCAAGTGAAAGAATCTGAAACAGATACCTGTTTGACTGTTTCTTCTGTTCCAAAATGCTACTCCGTGTCCTTGGTCCTCCGTCTACTAATTTCACCATTCAAGCTCAGGTCCTCTTTTACTCTTCATTCATCCAAGATAAGAATTGAGTCAGGGAGCACTCCCCTGTTCCTGGAAAAGGTTAGGTCACGTGTTCAAAAGATCCAAAGCGAACTAAATCGAACCAAGCTTCCGAATTTATTATAAATTTATTTTTTTATTTAAGTTTTTATTTTTAAAAAAATTTTAAACTAAATCAAATCAAATTTTATTATAGCTATTTTATATATTTTGATAAATTTATTTAATATTTTTTTATCAAATTTAGTTATAAACAAATCACTAGTTAAAAATATCTTTAAATTATTTAAATATGATATAGAATTATTTATAATAATTTTTTAATTTTATAATTAAGTTTTTCAAGGATAACAATAACACTAGTTGGTAAAAAATAAAATATTTTATAATTAATTTTTAATAGTTACTCTCTCTAAAACTATTTATAAATCACTTCCAGCATGTTTTATTAGAACCAAAGAAAACTATAAACCTCATTAAATTTGTCTCAAAATTTAACAAGTTTTTAGCTTTACCCTAATCAGTGTTCTTAAATCTTATTACTGCTATTTTAATTCAAAGCATTTAATAAAAAACAAAAATGTAAAGAGGAGCCTTAAAAATTAACAAGTATCCTATAAATAGAATTAAAATTTTTCTTTTCTCTCTACTATATAAATAGGATCAGACGAGTAATGTGTTAAATAATTATTAAAAATATTATTTCGCTATCAAGAGATATTTTTTCATTGAAATTAATAATTAATAGTTAAAAATTATTAGTAAGCATGCATACACACACACAATGAAAAATATCTATAAAAAAAACCTTAAACTTGATCCATGAAAAAACCAAATTGATGCTAACTCCTAGAATTTTTTTTTAATACATGGCCATAGTAAGCTGTGCAAAAAAACTAAGATTTAGTCATGTCTAAAGCCAAAAGGCTTCTATAAGCATGCGGAGGGACATCAAATATTGTAGTATTAAAATTATCATGAGATATCTGGTAGGCTAAACAATAAGCACATCTATTTAAGTCTCTATAAACATGATCAAATATGACCACCCAATCCCTCATTGTGAGATTGTTGATTTTTGTAATGATGTCGGAGAAAAGATGACTTCCAGAGTAGGTGTAGTTGATGAGAAAAGTGCTTCCATCGAATCCAAATGAACATTAATTTTGTATAATTTTTCATTCCAATAGAGGATAAGCCCTTCATAGATTCCCATAAACTTAGTAGTTGTTTGAAAGCCAAGATATTTGAAAAAGCCTTTGATCCAATTTCCTTTGTCATTTCTTATGATGCCTCTACAAACAGCAGCTCTATTAATGTTAACAGCATCATTCAGTGTCTAGTCTAACCTATCCGAATTTAGATGGTTTCCAATTAGTATTATAACTAGTGCTTCTTTTATTCAAATGATTGGTTTTTGGATAAAAGCTTCATATCATTATAGATTTGTTGATTGCTAAAGAAGGCAATATCACTTTCTCGAATCTCATCTTCTGAGTAGAGTTTCTTGCATCTTGCTTTCTAAATATTCCAGCAGGCTTGGGCGAATAGATTCTGCCAATGTGTTCTTCTTGTGTTCAAGCTCCCTGCTTCATTCTTTGCGTTCCATCTTATCCAGCCTTGCAATTCAAGAGAGAAAAGTGTAAAGTTTACTGACTCCTAGAATTGATGAAACATTGATTTAGTTTAGTTAATTACTAGTTGTAAGGTCGTCTACACTTTAACTTATTCATTATGGTAATCACAGAATTAACCTAAAGATTATCAAGTTTGTAAAATCATATAAATGGGCCCCCGAGTTTTAAAGACCCTCTAATATACTTTCATAAATGAAAAATCAAAGCAAAATGTGTTTATAAAAATATGGAATATTGACTTAAAGCATTTGTATTTAAGTTAAAAAATGATACTTTGGTATAGTGAAGTGGAGGTGCGCTATGACATATTTATCTTTATGCCATGCACCGTGACATATTACACAAGTTTGACATCAATGTTACTATCAAAACTTTATACGTGCCTCATTCCTCCATCTGACATTCAATTGAGGTGATCTAAGTGTTTACAAAAAGCTATTTCAAAACTCTAACTTACTAGTATTGGTTTCACTCACAAATTATTTTTCATTCAAAAGTTTGACAGCCATTTACGAATTCACTCTTTTTTACTTTTAAAACTCCACTAAGGTGTCCAATTTTTCTACTAAGTGTCATACGCTTACAAATACTCCTAGATCACACTCAATAAACTAAAAAGAACTTGTGCAACATACCATAGCATTTCAATAATATAAATATCACATTTAACTCCCAACCTCTTGAACACAAAAATAGAAGGTGGAAACAAATTCTCATAAATAGACTCAAACCATCGCATTTATGCATTTATATATTTTCTTACTTGCACTAGTATTTTGACTTTTTTAGACCTTGTAAACATGTCATATACAATTCAAGGCTCAAAATACATATTTAAATCTGATCAACTAATAGTGTAAGTAAGTCATAATAGTATGATAACCTAGTTGGCAATTATCAAATCAAAATACACATTACAAAATAATAGAGGTCTATAAACTAGGAACTAATGTCATAAGCCTCTAATGCTTTTCTCTTGTCTTGGTTCGAGCTAGGCCTTGTAAGTATTAGAAAGAGATGAGTGAGTATAACCACTCAGTAATCAAAGTTAATCTAGCCTATATAAATACATGATAATCAATTATAATGATTCAAGTGTATTTACACAAATTTCACAAGTTTAAGCTTTTCTTTCAAAATATTTGTCACAATCACAATACTACTAACAACCATGTGATTAAGTACAATCATACAACAAAACTTATATCAATAATAATCATTGATACACATAAAAGGATATAATACTAACAATTATGTGCCCCTGTCAAGTTATGCAAAACTACAATAATAATAACCATGTGATCATATAATGATACACATGATCAATGCCATCCTTATAACCTATTAATACCTTTGACATGAAATTTCTTGGCTATTTAGTGAGATTTGTCCATTTGATCGGCTACCTAAGCCTTTCACTTGTGAAAAGTTGCTCAGCCAAGGCTACTACATCCACTTATAAATTATAATTTTTCTTAATACTAACAATTATAAGATATCGTACTTTTAAACTAGCCTCCTTCTAAATAGATAAAAACTAATTAGGTTCAAGTTTCTTAATAAATAAGTGAGACAATCCCTCAAGAACAAGTAGAACAATGAAAATAAAAGGATAAGCTATTGAACTTTGAATGGTGGCCTTACCAAGTGAATTTAGAATCTTTACTCCACTCTCTAGGTAAACTCCTACCTCCATGGTCATACAGTGCATATATGCTTAGCTCATAATAAGCAATCACTTATACATCAACTCTTGGCATACAAATTCTCAAGTATAAAATTATATGCATATGCAATCAGCAAATTTACTCACATCTATTTCTATTCATAGCATTATTCATTTTTTACAATCTCAACCTTTTCTTCTTGATCTCATTCACATCACATTATTATCACATCATATTTCTCATGCATGTTCTCATGTTTATGCTCAAACAAGCCATTTATCCACACTTCACATACAAAATCATATTATCAAAACTTGAATTAATAATTTATGCCACACTTGCATTTAACATGTTCAAACACACTATTCTTTTCCAAAAATAAGTTATAATTATTTATAACTAACTAATAAATAAATGTACAAACTAAATTTTTCTTAAACTTTTAAGAGATTAAAAGTTTATCTTTCAATAACAAATACTTCTAAAGCTTCAATTAGCTCAAATGGTGCCAAGAACAGTTAATTTACAATTTAGTCATATCAACAATGATTAATATTATCCATAAGATAATCTCAACTCTCTAGTTCAACACTTCCAACTCCTAAAATCATAATCTCTTATTTTTAAACATACACATTGGATTTATTAACTTCCTTGAATTCACAATAATTTCAATGTATCACCCAACTATCATTAATAGCTTTGAAACACTCCCAACAACCTCATTAATAACCCATTTTTAGTCATTAATGACTTTCATCAACCAAATAATTGTAAAATAATCAGTGCTATTTAAATAATCAAAACAACTGTTATTAATTTTATTTAAGTTAACGGATTTAGATTCATAGCTTATAAGGATCGAAAGTCATCTTACTCAAACAATCTCTAACCCAAAATTTAGCAAAAATTGAAAGAGGAAGGGATGAGGAAGCTTGAAAAATTTACCTTAAGTGTTATCAAGCTTCAAATGGCTCTCAATCCTCCCAAATGGCATGACTTAGTAGAGCAAGAGGCGTTTTCTTTATTCTTTCTTTATCTCTTCTCCATTTTTAGATTGATTTTGTTCTTATTACTATTAGAAATTGATCATGCACTGTAATTCGTGTAGTACAAAGGGCTAGGCTTCGTGTGTTGGTGACTTATACGCTGCGGCATATGATATAGAAGCATTTTCTCTTGTTTTCCTCACTTCTTAAGGTTTTGGCATCCCCACTTGCTCCAGAACCAATCCTAGAATTGAAATCACAACTCAAAACATTCATTAACTCTCTATAATCACACATCATATTAATTTACTTAATTATCCTTGATTATGTTAATTAAACAGAAAGTTAATTTTTAAGATGTTATACTAGCAACAACTCAAATTTTAACAAAGTTACTCCCTTCATACTTAATATGTGAGCAATGACAGACCTACGTCTAACTAAGAGGGGGCAGCTGGCCCTACTAACACCAATTTGATCTCTTAGTTATAATAGGAAAACTTTCACTTGCCCCTTCCAAAAAATTGTCCTTTGCCCCCTTCCTCTAATATTGCTCTTGCATCACTTTTTTTTTTTTTTTTAAATTTCAGTCTTCACCTTACGGCCTGAACTTTTTCTCGCTTATTCAATCAAGGTAGTTAATATTATTTGTATTGCTAATTTTATAGGAGATAGAGATATCAATATGAAAAATTAAAAAGAATGTTAGTTCATATTATATAAATATAACAGTGTAATAAAATATTATTAAATATATTTTCAACTCCTCAAATAAAATAT